AAATCTTAGCTCCAGGAGCTAGTTCTCAATGTCATACACAAGACTTTTGAAGTGATAGGTAGATTCCGATACTTCATTGTCTAACTATTAAGGAAGTAAATTTAGCCTATTTTCGGAGAGAATTTTAAATTTTTTTCAATTTACTTGCCTAAGAATTTATTAGGCATCCAAAAATATAAGCCTCCAATTTTAAATAAAACTTATTCGAAAATTAATAAGTTACTATTAACTATTAAATTTTTGAATAATTATTATTTTGTAAATATTGTTCAAAAAAAAACTAAACAAATTAAATTTAAAATTTTTTCCCTTGTATAGTTTAAGGATTTAGGATTTGAGGGATTTGAGATTTTCTTAGTGAGGTTTTTCATCCTTAATTTGAAAAATTAAAAAATTTTTTACAATTTTAATTTAGTATCAAATTCCCCATCAACAACTTTCAATTTTTTATTTATTCCCCCTATAGTCCTAATTCTGGTATTAGAAATATCTTTAAATAAATTCCCTAAGGATCTAGGTTAGATCTCTCCGATATCTACTCCTAATTTTAAAGACTTAAATTTTCAAAAAAAAAATTTTTCAGTTTCAAAGTAAAATGTAACGGAATAACTTCAACTCTTCACCATAATTCTATTTATTTTATGAGTATAAGTCTATTTTTTGAAATTTTCAGTGCAGCTATTCATGTTATAATTTGGTATTTACTGCGGCATGGAATGAGAAATAATTGTAATAAATTTTTTTGGAAAATTAAATAAAAGTCGAGTCGACGAGCTCTTTCGAATAAGCTATTATTTGCATATTAGAATTTTTCACCCCAAAATTGAGCTTACTCCCCTTATGGTTTTGCGATTTTCAGGGACCTATAACTCGGTCCAGAATCATTTCCTAAAGTAGGGAGTGGTACAATTCGACTCAGCTCGTTGAGAACGAATCGAATGACATATGTCACGTCCCGAACTTTTACCACCGGTACAGTACACTATATCCGTAACTTTTTAGAAAAATATTTGCCTGAAACACTTCCAAAGTTTATAATCTAAAAATCGCACATGTCCTCGTCTAAAAACCCATTGCGGACCAAATCCTCTCGATTAGAAATGTCTGATTCACCAAGTTTTTAGGTTAATTGAAGCTGCACCGACAAGACTAACCGATGATCTATGGGGTTTTCTCTTCAGTTTTTGTGGCTTGTTTTTTAGGAACCCATAGCCCTACTCTTTTTAGACATTTGTCTGTTAACAAGAAAAAACAAATTAATTTTTTAATTAATTAAGTGTCAACAAGACGTTTATTTAAATCATTACTAAGTATTTTGCTTGTATCCTTGTTCGGCTTTACATTTTATACAAATTACTATTTATTTACCAAAATTATTGGAATTCCAAATTTTTGGGATCCAAGTGACACAGCTGTAACTTATATAGTTTATCAACTGGCTAATCATTTTGCTTTAATTGCTTGTTGTGCAAATGCTGTTATTTTATTTAAATTTAGGTATGTTTAGAGGTTAGGGTCAGTTGAGCGTCAGCCGAATTTGGTCGGCTTTAACATTTATCTGCTATAACATTCATATATCATTCGAAAGAACTCGATAAGCGCTTTCTTTTTTACAATTGCATAGATCAGGTTTGATCGCCCATTAAAAGTTACAAGTCGATAAATGTGAAAAACAACGATTTCTTGCACTTATCGACTTATAATTTTTAACCGGTGATCAGACTTGATCCATCCAGGTGGGATAAAGATAGGGCTCATCGAGGGCTTTCGAATGATATAAAGTTTATACGGATTTGATCATGCTTTAAAAAGAGTATCAGCTTGTCCGCCCCGATGTATAGGGATGTAGTGAAAAAAAAATTTCTTCGGGTCGGAATAAAATGCTCGGCTTCGAGTTACCAACACACTTTTGGTGTTATTTCGTAATATTGTTTGAATTTTATCTTCAAACATCCAAAAATAATGAGAGTTTGAAATAGCAATACATAAATATAAACAGAAAGTTGATATATTAAATTATGAAATAATCTATTATTTAACACTATTAAAATTTAATAATTTTTTAAATTTTTAGTTGCGAATATCGCCGAGCATTTCTTAAATATATTCCAATACTTAAGCGTTATGTTAAAGATTTAAATAACAAAAATGGAATAAATCAAATTAAGGTAAAATATTTAATTTATTTTCGAAATTACATTCACACCCAAAAATATTGTATCAACATAGATAACGAAACTTTTTATAAATAACTAAAAACTGATGAATACCAATATGTAGATCAGGCAGGATTGAGCATTGTAATAGAGTTCATTGTCGAGCTTAAAATTTTCTTCAGATACCTAGCATAACGGTCACTTTGTTAGCTTCACACGCTTTTAATGAGACCAAACGGTAGTAAAAATTCAAACGGTTTTGTGGCGATAATAAGATTGTACTAAAATATTAATATAGAAATAATAAGTAACAAGTAGGGCACTATTAGCTAAAATAACATCAATAAATACTTATAACCAATTAAATTAATTATTTATTCTCAGCCTATTCAACAAAAGATTGGTTGGTTTTATTTTTTTATTAATTAATTTATTTAAAATTTAGTATCAAAGATTAAAGTGGGTGCTGACATTAATTTAATGAAAAATGAAGGAATAAATAATTTAAATTCTAAAATTATTTTTAAAAGAAATAATAGTGATCCTTAAATTTTTGATTAAAAATATTTTGATATTTTTTTATTTTAATTGTCGTATATTCCAAAATAAATGTCCTCACTTTTTATAATTTTAAGAACATTGAGATGATAGACTTAAAATTACAGAGATTAAGATTAGGGTTTGGATCGAGGTAATGTCCTTGCTTAATTCAGATGATATTTCAATGTTTTTAAAATTAGACGGTAATATTTTTTCATCATCTTTTACTTTTATAATCTTTTTAGGTTGTTGCACTAATACATTTGGAAGAGATTTTGAGGGGTCATTCACATACTTTTTATATATGAAGTTAAAACGACGTCCATAATTTATATTTTTTTTATTTTTAGAAATACATTTTTTATTGTTGTTAATTTTTGGCTGTTGCAGCTTTCCTCTATAATTTAAATTTGATGTACAGTCTGTTTTGATTTTTTTCTGTCTAATTTTTCAGGCTCAAAATCAATTAACTTTTTGCGATCAGCAAGGAACTTCTTATTTTAAAAATACAAATCAATTCTGGTTAAATAAATTTAGTGAAAAGTTAAAATTTTAATATTTAAAAAATGGAATTACGCTAACAAGTAAAAGCGTTCATTTTCTTGGACGTCTTTCCCTCTGCCTACCCCATATAATTGTTTCTATCCCATTTACTATAAAACCGATTTAAAGGTTTTTATTTGACTTGTTTATGTTCTAATAAATAGGAAAACTAACAAATGGTTGTTATAAATACAAGTAATCGAGAAAGAGAGAAAGTCTTAACAAAGAACGGTTTCAAAAAATTTAAATAAGAGTTTTTCAAGTTTTCATTATTACGAATTAAATAAATGACCTGATTCAACAGCTTCTTCATGCCAGGGCTTTTGCCGAATTTTTTCACTTTACCATTTGTCTTCTTTGTTGTTCCATTTTTGTTCATTTTTAAATTTAATAATTTGATTAATAAATTATCCTGAAATCGAAAAGGGAAATTAAAACTGCAAAGTAATTTTAAGTTTTCTAAACTGAAATTTAAAAAGATTTTAGGTTCCTAAAGCGCAGCGGCGCTTTTCCTAATTTTTGCTTGTTTTGAGAGACTGCAGAACTATTATTAAATGAGCTTCGATGATTGTTTATATATCATTCTAAAATGTGGTGCAACAGTTGTAGCACTCTTTGTTTTTTGGTCCTTGACCAGTAACTTAATTTATAAGACAGAAAATTTGAATTTTCCTTTCTTTGGCAATAGCTAACGAAGAGAAAATGTATACAAGTGAACATTACAAACATAATACAACACAAATTTGAATTTTTCTCAATAAATAGCGTGAGAAAAGATTCTCATCAGGTACATAGGCAAAACTTATTAGAGTATATACAGTATATAATAGTTATTAAGTTTTTTAGGTTTTAAGATTATGCTATTTTTTTAGGCTAACTGATGTAGAAATGCAATGTGTTTTTTGGGGAGTAGGGAAAAAAATGAAACAAACAACAACAAAAAAAAGAATGTTGTTGTGTAATATGCTTATTTTGAGTTTTTGATATATCAGATACTGTTTTGGGTCGAAATAATGAGTTTTCGAACTTATTTAGGTACCCATTATTCGTTTTTTCGGGCCTAAAAAACTATCTAATTATAAGTTAGCATTTTTATAACGTTAATTAATTATTAGCATTGAACACTGTTCATGCTTCCAAAAAATAAGAATCATCAAAAAACAAGAGGCAATATCTCCAAAATATTTCAAGTACTTATCAAACCAAAAAATTCAATTAATTAATATTTATGATCCGCTAATTTGACTTGTTTAAATTGATATACATATTTACACAAGAACCACCCAAGAATTAAATATTTTTAAGAAGTTTTTAGATAAAATTTAGGGTTATATGTCAATTTTTTATTTTTACATTGCCATGAGAAAAAAGAAAATGCTTTTTCAAAATTTTAGAGGTTCTCTAGAGGTAATCGCCGTTACCCAAGAAGTCGAAACTATTTTCAGAAAATTTCAATCTAAACAATACATATTTAAATTAAACACAAATGGAGACAAAGAAGATCACAATTGAAAAAGAAAAATAGCCTAAGCATTTGTTAGGCTTCCAAAAAATAAAGCGGCAAGAACGTGTAAAGAATCAAAAAACATACTTCATTATGATAATATTAAATATCATAAAAGTAAATTTAAAATATTGTGCATCTGAAATTTTTACATTTTAAGATGAGAATCCGAGATTAGGTAATTAATAATATCGGAATGGACTAAATAAAATAATTAAAAAATTCGTTTATTCAAACAAAAAATTACAAAAATAAAATTAATTGAAATGGTGTTGTTGCAATTGCATAGTAAAATACATTGGAGGGGCAGACGGTTCTGGCTGAATATTTTTAATACAATTTTTATTATTTAATTTTTCAAAATTATTATTTTTATGGCTTGGATGTAGCTGTTCTTTTTTGCCATCAAATACCCGCTTTTTAATTTTATTGTTTGGCACAGATTCGAGGGTTGAAGACTTTCTCTTTCCTTCACATTTTTTGTTATTTTTAATTGAAAGATTGCGAAGAGGGGAGAAACTGGAAGCTCTAGAAGAAGATTCTTTTGGTGCCTTTCGTCCAGTTTTTCCAATCTACAATTTTTTAAAAATTTAGTAGAAGAAAATTTTAAGGAAAAATATACACAATATTTCATTTTATATTTTTATATTTTATTTAAGTATTTTGAATTTCAAATTCATTCAACCCATGATGGCCATATTTGATAAATATGTATTTTTGTAAGCCACGAAATAAGCTGGCTAACATACATATTGTATAACTTTGTACAAGTTACTATCATTTGAATTATCGCTGTGGACACAAATTTTTGTGCTACTCGTTAGGGGTAGTCTGACATATCAAGGCTGAACATTGTCTCATATATGGACCTCGAAAACCTAAAAACCATAAGGGCCAAGTACATTTAGAGGTGAAAAATTCGAATATGTTAAATATATAATTATTTACCTTCCACTCAAGTTTGCCAGCTTTAATTGAAGTACCTAATTGGGCTGCTTCCTCATCATTTCTTAAAATTACACAATATTATATTTTCCTCTAAATATATACTTTGGTGTAGGCGGTGGTTTGACTTTGGGTGGAGAACGAGGAGGGGAACATTTATTAAGTGGAACAATAACTTCGGCTTTTTCTCCTTGTTTTTGGGTATTTTCTGTTTGTTGTCTTTTGTGTTGTTTTCCCTTAAAAATTTATTAAATTTCAGCGGTTCAGTACATGCAAATTGGTAGTTTGATTCCCTTTCCTTTTTCAGTTGTTTCAATTAACAACATGAGGAAAATAAACGAGGAAATCAATGGCCTGGGGAACTATGCTCTAAACGAAGGTAACTCAAGATTAGCAAATTTTATGACTTATAAATAGGGTTATGCCGGACCGAGACGAGATCTCGATCGAAAATCTCGTTTATCGAGAATTTTGCGAGATCTCGATTCTCGAAAGACGCTCCCAGTCCGATCTCTAAATTAATCAAAAAATGATATGGAAAAATATGGAAATTATGGATTGGTAACTCAAAAACGACCTTACGAACATGCTAGAAATATGTCGTGCCTTTAGGCGTTAGAGACCCCAAAGAAAAATGGAAAAACCAACAAATAAGCTGGAAATCCATATAAATCTATTCCCTACTAATCAAAATTAAATTTAAGTTTACAATTTTAATTTCTCCTTTCTGCTCCAAATAACGCTTTTCTCTCCTCTCATTTCGAGCTATTCGCCTTTGCTCTCTTCGCAGTAAAAAGTGTTGATAGTCTATTTGCCGTGCCAAACATTGAGAGAGACAAACAGTTACACACTTAAATTATGGAAAGTTGTTTTAATTTAACAAATTTTAAAGTTAAATAATTAATAGCTAAATAACATTTAGCTTGCAAAAATAAATCCACCAAAACCGATAATGGACTGACCGATTGATTAAAATTTCTTTCTATTTAGTTATAAAATCTTAATAGATTATTTATTCATATTAAACAAAAATCCAAATCCAATTTTTGATTAATATAAATAAGCTATTGAGATTTATAATAAGAAGAGGTAAAAAATTTTTTAACAGACTTCACTGATGCTTCTTTCTATTATTTTTGTGAGCTAATGACTAATTAGCTATCAATTATTCCATGAAATTCTATACAAACTACATTATTTAAGATAATTATAAGTTCCAAACTAAATACTATTCTCCTTACAATAGTCATTTTAAATTAATTAAAAACAAACCACTGGGAATATAATAGAAAGTACAATCATTCCAATATGTAAAGCATGTGAATCAAATAATGTGCGTAATGGTTGGAGACATCCAAGGACATAAATATCCTTTAAAACAATTGTAAAAATCAGAAACAAATAAAAATAATTAACTAGCGGCGTAAATGTAATTAAGGAAAAATATGCATGGCTTCAATACAAAACTGGGTATGGATTCAGACGACTCTTCTTCATATAACTCATTTTGATAGCTATATCAGAGTCAATAATTTGTGGTGCCAAAATTCTTAATGCTAGTACCACCATTCCATAATAAACGAAGTAACGTGGTAAAACTAAGGCTGTTAGATCCTGGAATTTCCGCAGATATGGATCCAACACTCACCAACCCTAGATTAAATCCTTTAGTAAAAAACCAACAGAATCTAATTCCTGTTCTCTCTTCTTCTGCGCATTTTGCCAACACTGAATTGAGCGAATTGCAGGTGTGAGAGGGTTAACTTCACCGGCACCCGCTCTAGAAACCACAGATTTTCTACAACAAGAATATGGCACTCCACAACTTGAAAATTCAAATCTTTTTAAATAAATTTTTTAAACCGTTCAGGATATGGATTTGAAGCGTTACATTTAAATTGTTCACTAAATTGCCAATCATGGAAAGTTGTGCTCCCACAACATTCAAGCTTTAAAATATTATTTTATTTATTTGTGATTTTCGATAAAATTAAAAAAAGGTATTTTAAAAGGAATAAATGAAAAAATTATGTTAGATTAGCTAAATCATGTTTAGCTTCCAAAAATAAACGTCGCATTTTACAATATTCATGGTTAGTTAAAGTTTTTTTCAGTTTATAATTATAGTTTTAAAAGTTTAATCATATTGAGTATAACCAAATTTGAATTTTGAATGCTATCGAAATTTTTAATTCAATTTGATGTACAGAAAAGATTGCATATATATAGGAAACTTGTTAATGTGTGCCTAACTCAGAAATTTGTCTAAAATTTTTATCACTAAAAAGGCTACTTCCTGAATTAACTCCAATAAAAATTAATAAAAAGACTTGTTCTTGAAGATAATCTATAAAATCTGCATAATTTTTATTGGAATGATATCGAGCGATTGAGTGTAGGAGCACAGATTGAATCGATATAAATGTTGAAGATTCTCCAGAAACATCAGAATAAAACTGATAAAATATAAAAAATATTGTAAAGTATATTTGATTTAAAACAGTATTTTGCCGATTTATTTACTTAATATTAAATATTTTATTGTTTTTATTTTAAAAGCAATTAATGTTATATGTCGACAGTTAAAGGAGAATGCAGTCTTACTTTAGTTCAATTTTGTTTTGTGTAAATGGGTGGAAGCCCAGCCCATTGATAGTTTAATATTAAGTACTCCTAGTCGATAAATTAAAAAAATCTTACCAAAAGAAATAAAAGACAAGTAGATACAACCAACAAAAGATAACCAAAGAAAACACATAGGGCAAACTAAAAAATAAATTTTTATAATCAGTTATTAATGGACAGATAATGCTACTTGAGGCTTCAAGCTAATTAATCACTCAAAAAAAACTAAAAATTTACTACTATACCAATTTAAGTAAAAACACATTATCCCTGAGTGCACCAAACATTCCAAAAATTGAAACAAAACCCGAAATTAAGCCAATAGAGGCAAGAAGCACTGCTGGATTTAGTAATATATCTGCTGGTTCTGATATGGATCTTGGAGCATTTACAAATAAATAGAGGCCTAATGCTAGGCATGCAACAGAGACCAGCTTTAAAATTTAATAAAATTTATTTAAGGATTCAACTTGGATTATAGTTCTATCCCAGGCTGAATTTATTTTAAAATTTTTTATTTTTTTTTCTTTTTCTCTATAAATATTTTCAATAAATTGTCTTCTTAGACGAATAAAAAATTTTTTAAAATAAAAACCCAATAAAATTTAAAGAGAATAGCGTCTTTATTAATTTTTAATATATTTTAATGTTTGTCAAGGTCATTTAATGCGCAATAGAGGAAAAGACTTGAATTTCTTTAGATAGTGTGTGTCACTAAAAAAAGGTGGCAGATGTTTTCTTAAATATATTTAATCGGCAAAAATGATAATTAAAAGTGATAAGAAAAGGGGAGGTTGATTCTTGTGTAGAAAATGTGTCAATTTAATATTTTTTCTCTTTTTGAAAGTAATTTTCGATCATTAAGAAAAATCAAATTAAACACAGACAAAGTTTTAAGAAAATCAGATAGAGGAAATATAAAAGAATTAGCCTAAATCTATTTAGGCTCACAAAAATAAATAGCCATCAAAGGAGCCATAATTACCATTTACATACACTAAATCGTTAAACATGATAAAATGACAAAATTAAATATTTAATATTTTGTAAAGGGATTAAATTACAGAAACTTAAGAAAATAAACAAAATATAAAAATTGCTAGACCCTGCTAGAAATGGATAGCAAGCATTCGCCTAGCATTAACTGCTGGAGCTCGCAGATTTTTATTCTTGATTTAGCTTCGTTTTTGCTTATCTTTTATTTAATTATGACCGGAAAAGGAGGAGAGAATTAACAAATTATAACTAAAAATAATCTAAAATTTAACTCACAAAAATACAAAAATTGATGAAAAAGCAAAACCATTTAAGAGGGGCACAAATCTCTTGTCGAGGCTTTTCTATTCTTATAATTTTTGGCCGTCTATTTTCACCTTTAAAATTAAAAAAATTATTCTTAAACTTATTTTTGCCCCCCCCCCCTTGTTCTTGGTTCTTTACATTTTTCCTCTCTCTAAGAATAATGTTAATTTCGCGAAAACCAATGATTTTCGCTTCAGTTTGTCGGCTCGATTTCAGTTAACCAAGAGAAATTTCGGTTGGAGAAAGGAGAAACGGAGAGAATAAGAATTGAAAATTGAATGGGGGATGAGGAAAAATACAAATTATTTGAAAGGAATCTGATCTTAAACTAAAAATATCTCAACAATGATTATTATTGAAATTTTTGATTTTAAAATTTGCTAAAAATTTTAAAGATTTACAAAAGAAACTTGCGGACCGACTTTTACGACCGAAACTTCCGTACCCGACGAATTTCTCAAAACATAGCTCATTCAATAGAGCTCGACGAGCTGAGTCGAATGACATCAAAATCATCGTGATTGTACAAGCTTGGATAAAGTTACGATAGAAAAACAAAACCCTAAACCTATGGTCCGCAAAAGTCGGTCCGCAAGTTTCGCACTACCGTTATATCGTCGTATACCGTGAGGGTGGAATCTAAAATCCGGTCTAGACCCAGAATAATAAATCTTAAAACCAACCCAAACGTTTATTATCTCTATGAACATTTCCAACATCAACTTGAATTGCTGTTTGTTGCCTTTCTTTACTTTTTATTCTTGTTGGGGGCTTTTTACTTAATTTTATTTTATCTGGTGGCTGTATATTTAAATTTCTTTTTAAATGTTGTCCAGAAGAGGATGGAGTCATTGAGGGTGTTAAGATTAATAATTAATTATTCTACATTTATTTTACATTATAAATCGATCTAAAATATAAATGATTAAAAGAATATTAGCTTATAAATCTTATAAATCTTTCGTGAAGGATAAGTTTCATGTTTCGGGAATCGGTTATCCAATCATCTAACTCGTGAGCCTGTCAAAGTTGCAGGAGTTAATGTTCTATGTATAAGCCGTTCGGTTGACCCCACCTCGCATTCATTCAGCTTACAGTTTGATAGGATTGTAAGGGTATCAATTTTTCGGGTCTCATATCGGATTTCGTTTATGTGAAAGGATTTGGAGAGATCAAGAGCTATTTGGATGGGTTAAAGATATAGAAGGAAAGTAGAGTAGGTTTTGTAGTTTTTTTTAATTTTTCTAATTTTTGCCTTAAATTATATTAAGGTTTCCAAAAATAATAAACAAAATTCCCCAAAAAATAAACATATTTGCATAAAAATAAAAACTAATAAATCATACAAAAGCTATTATCTAATATTATCAAGTTATAAAAGTTAAGAATTAAGAAATTAGTTTCGGGAATCGGTTACACATCACATCTAACTTGTGAGCCGATCAAAATTACAAAAGGTCAAATTAAACTCTTTTTAGTTAGAAAATCTAACTTCCAAAAAATATCAAAAAAGCCCAGTCCAAAGTAAGTTTGGTTCTACTTAAAACTTCTACTTAAAATAAAATTAAATTGAAAAATTCTACAGGAAGGAAAAACGGGCATCTTTAAGTAGTTATTTGAAAGTGGATCGCTTAACAATAGCGAAATGACAGATTAAAAAAAGTCATATCTGGTTTCGGGTCTCGAACAGGATTTCGAGTTTGGTCAATAAAGAAATTTCGAGGAAGGACTTAAAGAAATATGAATGATTTTAGAAAAAGGAGTTAGAGATGGAGAGGGATCTAAAAATCTGTGCAATGCTGTGCTCTGATCTGGGCTTTAAACATATTTCTGTGGGTGATAGAGTGAATTGTCCAAATGAAGTAAAAACTAAAAATCAAATTTTTTGCCTAAATTGTATATTCTGGCTTTCAAAATTAATATCTCGAGGCCTTAGTCATAAGTAGGGATCGGATTTGTATTGAAATATATTTTTTTTCCTGAATATATTATGTCGAGAAAAGCCCAAATATGCCATTAGTTTTTCGATATTATGATTTTGAACAAAGTTACATTTCAATATATTTCAATATTTTGCCAATTTCCCCGTTATTTCAATATTTCGCGCTTTTTTCAAATTATTTCAATATTTTTGCATATTTTTACAAAATTTTGGGATTTTTCATAAATTTTAGGAAAAAAGTGAAGAAATCTAGACGTTTGACAACCAAAATTCTCAAAATTTTCGCCTGCGGCGCTGAAAAGGGGATGTTATGGCCTACAGTGTTGTCAAAATGTGTAAATGACCAAAGGTCCCCATAAAGGCCCATTCCAAAATGCTTCGCCCTTAAAATGTCCCACAGGACAAAATCCGAAATGGCACATTGAGAAAACCCACAAAATGTCCCATCTCATTTTATCAATCAAAAAATGTCCAAGAGAGTAAAAATACTCGATTTGTCGAGCTATAAAGTCGATTTTAAAAACGTGGTTATTTTTTTTGGTTAAATTTCAACTTTTTTGGGAGGTTTTCTAGTGAATAAACGATAATTTATTTCAATATTTAGCTAGTTTTTTCCATTTTTTGTCAATATTTTGCCACTTTATTTCAATATTTTATGGCCATATTTTCCGATTTTATTTCAATATAAATCCGATCCCTAGTCATAAGAATTATTTAGGCTATTTTCTAGTTAGAAAACCTAACTTCCAAAAAATTGCAGGAACAACAAGAAGCAATAAGAAATAATTAGTTAATTATTTTTTGACTTATAATAAAATTAAATTTAAAAATTATATATTTTTGAAATATTATTAAGTTATCATTACAGACATACATAAGTTTGAGTCAACTGAACGCCTTTAAAATTAAATTTTTACATTTGCGATTGGTTTAAAAATATCTGAATGTAATATTTTCGCCCCCTTTAAAGCAAAACTACTAAAAATAAAAATATGTGGCAGACAAAAGCACAAATCCCCCTCTATTTTTCTTTCCACGAATGACCCAAAAACGAGAAGGGCGGCGGTTAATTTTTGCAGATGATGCCCACCCTAAAACCAATATATAAACTATTTTTTTCAATTATTCTTTCGATTATTCTCGCTCAATTGATTCAAACCAGTATGAAAAAATTTTATTTTAATAAAAAGGAGTATGTATATTTGTGTGTGAATTAAATATTTAATCCCCTACTTTATTTTAGTGAAGTTAGAGACCGAAAATTAAAAAGCGGCAGAAACAATCCCAGAAAATAGCAAGAGATTGAAGAGAGAGAGCTTCATCTCTTTAAAAAAATGAGCTCTTAGTTCGATCTCTAAAAAATTTTGAACGAGCAAGAACAGATCACATTTATTTGTAAGCTAAAAAGAGGCTAAAAATGGTTAAGCAAACACTCGGGGTTTTGCGGCACTCTTCTCGCTAGTAGTAAATGGTTGCTGGGTTAGTACCAGGGCTGGGCGAAATCTAAAAATAAAAAGCGAAATGCCAAACTTTTCGCGCTGAAAAATGCGAGAATGCGAAAGTGCGAAATAAGCCCAGCCCTGGTTAGTACGTAGTTTACATGCGAATAAATGGGGTGTGTACCTAAACTGCACAAGTCTTTAATGAAAACGTACACTGAGTTGGATATCTTCAAAAATTTAGAATGAGATCACGTCTTGGTTGATCTCTAATTTAAATTGTGTGGAAAAAATTAAGTTCTCTAAAGCAGAATTTCTAAGCAGAAATTTGCTCTCTAAGCAGAATTTTAACCGCCTTATACTTGTAGAAAGCACATTATCTAATAAAATTTAACCTATTCCTTAAAAGATAAAAAATTAAACATATTAACTAAATAAATTTGAATATTATAAAAAATTTTAATTTGTTTCAGTCGTAATTCCGTTAATAAATAAGTTTCATGAATATTTTTGTAAGCAATCAATTTCGATTGCTAATTAAAAAATTTTGGCGCTGGAATAGTTTATGCGTTAAATGGACCTTTGTGCTTCAATCAACTCTTACGCGGAAAAGATTGTGAGTCCAATGGAAATTTTATGATCCAATATTAAAAAGGTCACCCTGAAGACCAAACTCTGAAGCCATAATATCACTAAAAACATACTAAATTTTGAGCAACACGAATTTTTTTAGGTACTTAGGTATCCGTTATACGACCACAAACTGAGTGGCAGCCGACATTTGATCGCCAATAACTTCTTGATGCTTGATCCTATAAAATGAATTTTATATTATTCGAAAGCCCTCGGTAAGAGCGTATATTTTTTCTAATAAGATTGATCAGATCTGAACAGTCATTAAAAGTTATAACCCGATAACCTTCTATCGAGCGTTTTCAAATGATATAAAATTTTTTTATAGGATCAAGCATCAAAAAGTTATTACCGATCAGGGGTGGGCGCAAGAGGCAATCTTGAAAAACGCAAAACGCAACGCAAGCCAAAAATCAACGCAAAAAACGCAAAATTTGAAAAAAAATTTTAAATAGAGTATTAGCCATTTTTCAGTTAAAATTGAAATATTACTATAAGTCAGCGAGTTCTACTCGATCTTGTGCTACAATTAAGTTGGATGGGTAATGATTTGAAAGGGATACAATGGGATTATGAAGAATATTAGAGGATTTAGAGCGATAATGAAGGAGGGATCGAGGAAAATTGGAGGGATCAAGGAAATTTAAAAAGATACCATGCGATTACTGACGAATGTCGGATGGGTTGGGGAGATAGCGGAGGATAAATGGATATCTGTAATTCTTAATTGATACCGGGGATATCAGTGGATTTGGAGGGATAAAGGGAGATCGGAGCTATCGATACTGAACTAATATTTTTCTGAGCAGTTCAATGATCTCTTTTAAGAAAACGAGCTCTGAATTGGATCTTTTAAACATTTTTGAACGATCAAGAACACACAACATGTATTCGCAAGCTAAAAAGAGGCTCATAATGGTTAAGCAAACGCTCGGGGTTTTGCGGCACTCTTCTCGAAGGAGTGAACGGTCGTTGTTTTAGTACCTAGTTGACTTGCGAATAAATGGGGTGTGTAACTAAACTGCACAAGTTCCCGAGATCACATCTTTGTTGATATTCAATTAAAATTGTGTGGAAGAAATATAGTTAATCGTGAGCTTTCGAAGCAAGGTTTCTAACCGCCTTATAACCATCCCACCACTTAATAATCGTTTTAATTTTTGCTATACTGGCAACACACAACAATCTACTAGAATTTAAATTGATCCTCAAAAGATTAAAAATTAAACATAATAACTAAATAAATTTGTATATTATACAAGAGTTTAAATTTTTTTCAAGAGTAAGTAGATTGCTCCGTAAGTAAATATTTTTGGAAGCAATCAGTTCCGATTTCTAATTAAATTATTTTTCCTTAAAATTTCCGGTAGTTCCAGTTTCCGATATTTCTTAATTTCTGGCCGAGTCGTGGGTTAAAATAAATTATTAGAAGGAGAATTCGTTTATAAAAAGGAATTGAATTTTCTGAAAAGCAAATATATAAATTATTTTATTTCAAAAGTTTAATAAATATAATAGTAAAATTGTTCGTGCGAGCGGTGAGGTATGCTTATTTTTTGGAAGCCTGGAAAATTCCAAGGCTAAGTTTAAAAATATAACTTGTAAAATTATTTTCTTAAAGGTGTTGGTAAAATCAGAAAGATGTTTTCGGTCCACAGGCATCTCCGGAAAAAATGGTACTGTTCGACTCAGCTCATCGAGACAAATCGAATTGTATGGTCTTATTTCGAAACTAAAAAAAGCAAACATATAAATTATTTTATTTTAAAAGTTTAGTAAATATTGTATAATTTACATGTTCGCGTATGTGGTGAGGTGTGATTATTTTTTGGAAGCCTGGAAAATTCCAAGGCTAAACTATAGATGTAAAATACCAAAAATCATTAAAATCTGCCAACCTAGTAAAAAGTTATTAAATTTTTCAATTAATGCTTCTTAGCTAAAATACCCTGTATATTTGCGTGAATTATACATTTAATCCCCTACTTTATTTATTGAAAGTAGACACCGAAAATTAAATAGGAAACATATAAATTATTTTATTTTAAAAGTTTAGTAAATATTGTAAAATTTACATGCTTAAAGAAGCTCAAGAAGATAACGTTATTTTTTGGAAGCCTGGATAATTCCAGAGCTAGATTTAAAAATTAATTTGTAAAATTATTTTCTTGAAG